TTGGCCATGGCCCAGAAACCTAACAGCAAGAATACTGACAGAACTCTGCCTTTAGAACTGCCTGGCTGCATTCAAACCTTTAAAATTCGCTGAAGGGTGGGCTGATCCATGGAAAAAATAGCAGTGTTATGGATCATCAGGCAACTCAATGTTTCATATGTTCTGGTTTCACAAAGATTTTCCCAACTCTGATAGAGTTACTTTAAAAAGCATACACAAATACATATATACATGCCCAAAATAACATTATTTGAATTTCTGAATCATTAACATGGAAATCAATAAACTGTAAGTATTTCTGCAAAATTCAAGAAAAGACATTTGAAATTGCTTTAAAAATGGCCACATCAGCTAAATACATAAAGAGTTTATACCTGTGAGGAGGATGCTAAGAGAATTTCATATGTGAATTATCTCATGAAATGCTCCAATTGCCTTGTGATATATGTTTAAAAAAAATTATCCTATATAATAAAAGCCTAATATGCTAAGTGTCTAGTTGTCTGGTCATCCGTTCAACCAATCAAAACATAATATGCTAATCATATGCTAAGGCTGCTCAACCGCTCGCTATGACGCACTGACCATCAGAGGGAAAACAGTTAACTGGTTGACCAGTTGCTATGACATGCACTGACCACCAGGGGTCAGATACTCTGAGCAGTAGGTTAGCTTGCTGCTAGGGTCTGGCCTATTGGGACTGAGCGAGATGGGCCGGACTCGCCCTGGAGCCATCCCATGGTTTCTCCCTGGTGTCCCTCCTGTGTCCCTCCTGCATCCCTCTCCAGCCCCAATTGTACAATAGAGGGGACTTTTGACCTGGCCTGCATCCCTCTCCAGCCCCAATTGTACAATAGAGGGGTCTTTTGACCTGGCCTGTGCCCTCTTGCAATCTGGGACCCCTCAGAGGATGTCAGAGAGCTGGTTTTGGTCCAATCCCACTGGCCAGGTTGAGGGACCCCACTGGTGCATGAATTCATGCACTGGGCCTCTAGTTGGATTATAATTTATCGATAGAATAAAACAATAGAAATATTAATACTATAGTATCTTTCTTTAATATAAAATGTGTATAATTGATATGACCTGTGCCACCAGTAATTTCATTGATATGGAAAACAGTCACAGAAAAATTAAGTAAGTAATCCAAAGTCAATGACATAGTGATTAGACAAGAAATTATTTGAACACAGGCAGTCTGATTCCAGAAACAGCACTTTCAGTAACTGTATTATGATGCCTTCCTCTTTTAATATATAAAGGCATCTCTTAACAGAATATTTTATATCTATGAAAAAATCACAAATGTCAGTGATTCTAAAGTCTGATAAGAATAATTTTCAGAATTTTACTCCACTGATTTTCAGAATTATTCCATGTTCTTTCTAAAGAGGATATGTATGGTCAAGCTATATATATAGGGTATCCCCCAAAAATATATACACACCCTTTAAATAATTACAAAGGCAGTGTTTATTAAAATACATTTCATTTTCAAAATTGAGCTATCAGCTTTTGAAGTGTGTATACATTTCTTGAGACACCTCTATATAATTATTCTCTCTATTTGTCTTGCTAAGGTTTGTTTACACATGTAATTAATGAAATCATCCTAACATCTAGGTTCATATGGACCATAGATGAAAGCTGAGAGAACTGGCATACTGTGTCAATAAAATTATATATTTTTACAGAAGTATTTTTTCAACACATATCTTAGGATAATGGAAACTAAGGAGAAAATAAACAAATGGGATTACTTCAAAATAAAAGCTTCCGCAAAGCAAAAAACAAAAAACATCAACAAAATAAATTTATTTTTATTTAAGTATAGTTGGTATACAATCATATTAGTTATGTTATTTTCAGGTATATATTATACAATATGATGAGTCAATAATTTTATACCTTACAATGTGAACACAGTATAAACTTGTTACAGTATATTGACTACCTCTTTTAGCCCATCCTCTGACCCCTTCCCTTCTGGTATATAAGAATTTTTTAAAAATAATTTAAATGTCCAAACTCCTCAGTTAAAATGTTTGTATCAAGTAGGTTTATATGATTAAATAAACTTCATAGAACTTATTCAAGTTAAAAATTTAATGTTATAATTTTTTTTTTCTAAATTGTAGTACTTTTATGGTTATGTGGAAGTAATATCTGGAATTAAGCAAAAGGATCAATTTTAAATACTGATGATTACTGAAAAACTATTGCTATCTTTGGAACAAGTGTGCTTATATACTTACTAGAGGCCCGATGCATGAAATTCGTGCAAGAGTGGGCCTCCCTTCTCCCGGCTGCCGACACCAGCTTTCCTCTGGCACCCAGGACCCAGGCTTCCCTCGAGCCCCACTTCGTCTGGAAGTTTGTCTGGAAGGATGTCTGGTCTAATTAACATATTATGCTTTTATTATTATAGATATAGTGTGAGAACAGTGTTATAGTGGGAGAACAGATGTATATTAACTGTACATTTTTGTGGAATCCTTAAAATCAATCAAAATTATATTAATGTATATTCATATTAGTGTTAAATATAATGTGCACATTTTGAAGAAACTAGGAGTCAACTTAAAAGTTATTGATCATATTCTAATTTTGGTTCTGTATATATCATTTTAGGCCAGTGACTGAATTTTTTTGAAAATAATGTTTTCATCTGCCAAATTAGAGAAATATATGTGTTAAAACTAAAATCTGCCATTAAATCTAAATCTAAATATAAATTGAGAAAGTACATTTAAAAAATGACTCAATGATATGAATATGAGAAATTCACTTTATATTTTACAAAAAAGGTAAGTTTAAATGAAAAAATATTAAAAATGTACTATGCACATATTTATATTTTCAATGTGGCTATATTAATATCTGATAAAGTAGACTTTAGAGCAAACAAGTTTACTAGAGAAACACTACCTTTTACCTAAAGGTTCAGAAAGACATAATAATCTTTTCTGAAGTACACTTTAGTTAGAAATTCTAAGTTGGACAATTTTTTTTCTTCCACTATCTTAACATGACTCCTAATGTCATTCAGATGTCATTCTGTTTGTTTCTTACTTGATTATATTTATTTTACCTCTGGCAAATTTTAGAAAAAAATTACCCATTTTTCCTTTTCTGTAGGTTTTTTTTGTTTTTTTGTGTGTTTTTTTTTTGGGTGGGGGGATGCTTTATTTTGTTTCTTCTATTGGTTCTTCAATTAAACATAGACTAAACTTCAAGTCATAGACAACATAGTTCACTAACCCTTAGTCCTAAATTATTCACCTCTAAAGTTTTAATAAAATTGTGGTATGTGTGTGAGTGTGAGTGCATGTTTTAGACTTTTTAAACAATATTTTTGAAAAATTTTAGATTTACAACAAATTTTTAAAGGAGGTAAAGAGATTCCTCACATTCTTTATGACCCAACACAAATATAGTCCCCAATAATTATCAACATCATCCGCTGGATAATTTTTTTGCATTGACACATCACAATTACCAATAGTCTATATTTTATCTTAGGGTTTATTCTTGGTACTATACATTTTAGGGATGTGGACAACTGTATAATGACATATAATCATATGCATATATATATTTTTTGAGAGATTATTTTTTCTATTCCTTTAAGTTCCTGGTGTTTTTTTAATTTTAATTGTTTAAAGTATTTCACAATTCCTTTTCCCCCAATTGACTGCCTGCACCCCAGCCACTCCCGCTCCCCAGGACTAACTCCCACCCCCCAGTTTCCGTATCCATTGGTTATGCTAATATGCATGCATACAAGTTCTTTGGTTGATCTCTTACCCCCTCTCTCCTGGCTCTTCTCTGAGGCTGATGGTCTGATCAGTTTTTCTTTGTCTCTGGATCTATTCTTGTTCATCAGTTTTTATGTTGATCATTATATCCCACATGTAAGTGAGATCATGTGATATTTATCTTTCTCAAACTGGCTTATTTCACTTAGCATAATGCTCTCCAGGTCTATCCATGCTATTGAAAATGGTAAAAGTTCTTTTTTTTTTTTTCTTTTTTTTTTTTTTTCTTTCTTTTTTTTCTTTTTTTCTTTTTTTACTGTATAGTTACTATAGTAGCATAGTATTCCATTGTCTAGATTTACTGCTGTCTTTTAATCTACTCATCTGCTGATGGGCACTTAGGCTGTTTTCAAATCTTAGCTATTGTAAATTGTGCTGCTATGAACATATGGGTGCATATGTGCTTTCTGATTGGTGTTCCTTGGGATATATTCCCAGAAATGGAATTACTGGGTCAAATGGCAGTTCCATTTTTAACTTTTTTTTTTTAAACAGCATATTTATTTATTTTTATTTATTTATTTTAAATATCTTTTATTGATTTTTTACAGAGAGGGAGGAAGAGAGATAGAGAGCTAGAAACATCGATGAGAGAGAAACATTGACCAGTTGCCTCCTGCATGCCCCCTACTGGGGATGTGCCCGCAACCAATGTACATGCCCTTGACCGGAATCGAACCTGGGACCTGGTCCGCAGACCCAGGCTCTACCACTGAGCCAAACCGGTTTTGGCCATTTTTAACTTTTTGAGGAAACTCAATACTGTCTTCCACAGTGGCTGCACCAGCCTGCATTCCTACTAGCAGTGAATGAGGATTCTTTTTCCTTAACCTTTATCTGAGATAGCATTGGCAAATATGTTCTCCTATGCAATGGGCTTTCTTGTTATTTTGGTGATTCTTTCTTTTTTTTTTTTTTTTTAAATAAATCTTTATTGTTCAGATTATTATAGTTTTTCCTCTTTTTTCCCCCATAGCTCCCTTTCATCTGGTTCCCACCCAATCTCTGCCTTTACCTTCTCCCCCTCCCCCACTCACTGTCCTCATCCATAGGTGTAAGATTTTTGTGCAGTCTCTTTCTACACCCCAATACCCCCTTCCTCCCGAGGAATTGTCAATCCACTCCCTTTCTATGCTCCTGATTCTATTATAGCCACCATTTTATTCTGTTCATCAGACTTTCTATTCACTTGTTTTTTAGATTCACATTTTGCTAGATGCTGGAAACCATGATCAACAGTAATTAATATAAAGGGTAGTAGTCCAGCAGAAGGTGGACCTGGACTCCTTTTGATATTCACAGGGTGAATATTTACATTTTATGACCTACTGCTGACTCAATGGCCTAAAGCAAACTCCCCACAATCTGATAATCTTACTGTTTACTAAACATTATCATTGATATGTCTGTTTACATTCTTAAAAGACAATTGTGTATTCTAGTAAATAAAAACAGCTGGGAAAGAAGACTCAGTGGAACTTGACTACTACAGTTGAACTTTTCCCTGCCTCCCCCCATCATTTCAAAATTAATTTTTCTTGTCTTGTGTGTCAATTTGCACGTCAGCTCCTAAAATCTATGCTGTCCATGGCTTTTCACAATTGGTGCCCTTGAACTGGGACTTGGAGAAAAAGGATTTGCCAGAGTCGAAAATATCACAGGACCAAGGTGGAAGATTAACTGATAACTCTTGTCAGCTGTGGAGCCAGGGGATCCTTAAGTGCTCAAGTATTTTCTCTTGTTTCAGCCAGATCATCATAATGGGGCAGAATTCCTCAAAAGTAGAGAGATCTTCTTGTAGACTGTTGGCTTGCTTACTAAAATATAAGGGAGTTGCAGTTTCAAAAGATCTTTTACAGTTTTTACAGATTATTATAGAATATAAGCCATGGTTTTCTGATGAGGGTACATTGGATACTGAATGTTGGGCATGCATAGGTCAGAATTTGAAAGAAGCTCAGCAGCAGGGGAAAAAAAAAAAAAAAAAAGCCTCCGAATTGCTTCTCCTTGTGAAGAAACAGAATTGCATCCTCCCTTTGCAACCACCACTCCTACAGAAAAGCAGGAAGATAAACTGGAGGCGGGGCCTTCACGTCCTGACTCTGAAACATTTAAATCTCACCTGTGCAAAGAGCCATCAGAAAAGGAGTAAAGTAATGACTATGGAGGATAGACTTGCTTTCCTGTCATACAGGTAGCTAATCCACAATTCCCTAATCACATAATAATACAGCATGAAGGATTTGACTTTAAAATGATAAAGGCATCGGTGATAGTGTAATACAGAATGGCTTAAATGCTCCATTTACTGGAGAAATTATAACTAACATTTCATAAGTGTTCCTAGCTCCTTATGATTGGTATTCTCTGGCCCATGCAACTCTGGATGGAGGAGATTATTTGCTATGGAAAGGAGAAGTTTTAGAGAAATGTCAAGAACAAGCTTCAATCTCAGATAGAATATTCTCATAACTTTTGAGATGCTTGCGGGACAGGGACAATTTAGTGATGTCCATTGTGAAAGAAAAAAGCCACATGCTAACCTGACAAGCTCAGGGAAGGCCTGCGTGGCAGTCTTGCAAACCCAGAGACCTAAGATAACCACAAAAGATGGTTTGAAAATTAAATATCTAACAGGTTATAGTAGGTAGTCATGTCCCAGATATTTTCCCAGACAAAGATCAACTTTGATCTTTTTACTGAGCCCATTTGCCTTTTTGCCTCTAAAATAACATATCTGTGAGATGTCTGGGTAACTTGTAACTTCCCTTTTTCTGGAGCCCCTGGGGAACAACCAAATGTGGTGGGCGCCAGGACAGATGCCTCAAATTCCTTCTTTATCATGTTAATTGTTCCTGCACTCACCTGAGTACATGTCCATCATTTTACTTTTTATCCAATCCCAGGAGTTTCCCACCACTTTGCTTTTTCCCGCCTCCTTACTCCATCACCAATGAATTTCATGTAACCCACCTATGTCCCTCCTTTGATTTCAGTGTATAAATTTGGAGCATTATCTCAATCTGTTGAGGTTTTGCTTCCCAGCAATTGTCGACAGTTTTGGCTCAAATAAACTCATTAAAAAATTCTTTACAGGTTTCAATGTTTTTTTTCATTAACACCATAATCAGCTCCAATATGTCCAACAGGTGTATGAGCAAGTTAGACTTTGTGGACAAAAAGGCTGGTGGACTTTACCAGCAAAACGGGACCCTGAGGCAGCCTTTAGTAAGTGCATGCAGAAGCCCACTAAATCATTCTCTGACTTTGTAGCTCACCTGACTGGAGCAGACAGCAGAAGACATTTTGACTCAGCAATTAGCTTATGAAAATGCCAATGCTGATTGTAAGAAATGACTAACACCACTAAGAAAAAATAGTACCATCACAGAAATGATTTAAGCATGTCAGAATGTGGGGTCAGTCTTTTTCAGGCAAGCTTACTAGCTGCAGCAATTACAACAAGAAACAAATTATGTTTCAATTGTGGACAATTTAGTACATTTTAAAAAGGAAGGTAAGCAACCAAAAAGGACACAAGGTGATTCTCAAGGAGAAGGTGTAAACATTCTGCCTCCCAACTCAGGTAATGCAGGTCTATGTCCCAGATGTAAGAAGGGGAATCATTGGTTTAATCAGTATAAATCTAAATTTCATAGAAATGGGCAATCATTAAATCAAGACATAGGAAATGACCAGCTGCAGGTAAATGGCAGCCCCATTTTTAAATAGGGGAAGTTTCATCCTGACAGGACCATAGTAGATTCCCTCCTTCAAATCACGCCAGAAAGAAATGCTGGCTTTGATCTTAATAGCACAACAACAATCACCCTGATCCCAACATGGTAGGGCAAGTTGTTTCTACAGGAATTTCTGGACCCATGCCACCAGGAATAATTTGCTTCAGGTTTAGTCCTAGGAAAGAGTGAAAATATGCTAAAAGGATTAACTGTTTTTCCTGGAGTCAGATTCAGAATATAAGGGAGAAATCAAAGTAGTTTTATAATGCAAACATATTGTGCAAATTATTCCAGGACAAGGAATTGCTTAGCTCCTGCTTTTACCTTATATTTAGCAAGGTGAAGTTATAGATAGGAAGAGAGGAACACAAGGGTTTGGAAGCTCAGATATACTACATTAATAATATAGAGCCTCTGAAAAGATATCAATGGAAAGTTTTGCCTCAAAGAATGGCCAATAGCCCTACTTTATGTCAAAAATATCTAGCTCAAGCTATTCAGCCTTTAAGGGACAAATATTTCCAGTGTTATATTGTCCATTACATGGATGACTTGCTCCTAGTGACTGCACAGGAAGAACATACTTTAGCAATGTTTTTTTCATTTAAAAAAAGAACTTCCTAAATGGGACCTAAAAATTGCTTTGGAAAAAGTACAAAGAAATGCCTTTTAAATGTCTAGGTACCATAATTGAAAACCAACATATTAGGCCTCAGAAGGGAGAAATAAGGAAAGACTGCCTTAAAACCTTACATGACTTTTGAAAATTATTAGGGGAGATTAATTGATTAAGACCTTATCTAAAAATCTCTATAGGAGAAATGACAAATTTATTTAATATACTTAGAGGTGACTAATCTTTCCCCACTCTGAATATTGACAGATGAAGCTAGGAAGGAGTTACTAAGAATTGAGCAGACAATCTCCTTAGCCCAAGTGGCATGAATACTGCCTGAATTGCCTTTATTGGGACAGATTAGTTTTATTGCATATAGTCCCACTGGAGTCATCTTTCAAAATAAAAACTCTCTATTATTGAGTGGGTCCACCTAGGACATCAATTATCTAAAACTGCACTTGCATATATATAGAACTTATGGCTCAGTTGATTTTTCAACTTAGAAAACGCTTCTGACAGCTGAGAGGACAAGAACCCCAATGTATTTACCTTCCCCTTTCTGAGAAGCAATTAGAAATGTTATTTCAGATTTAAATTTGCAAATTGGGCTGAGTGGCTATTCAGGGGAACTTAGTTGTTATCTACTAAAAGAAAAATTATTACAATTTTTATATTATACTCTAATTATTATATCAAAAAATAGTAGGCAGGAACCTATTCCTGAAGCATTAACTGTTTTTACTGATGGATCATCAAATGACAAAGCTGCTTATCATGCAATGAATTTAGACAGAGTCATCCAAACTAGTCATACTTCCGTACAAATAATTGAGTTGGAAGCTATTAAGGCTGCATTATAGGATTTGCAAGAATCTCTTAATATTATCTTGGACTCTTCTTACACTGCAGATTTATTAAATAGAATTGAAACTTCTCATTTAAAATGTCTCAGTGAACAAAGTTTATTTTTACTTTGTTCAGCAGATTGTACAACAAAGACAATATCCTTTCTAAATTACTCACATAAGGCCTCAAAGTTTATTACCTGGCCCATTGGCAAAAGGAAATACACATGCTAATCAATTGGTTGCTTTATTGAAACAAGTCTCAGAATCTCATCAGCTTTTACATCAGCCTGCCAAAATGTTGTATAGACAATTCTCAATCTCTCCATAATAGGCAAAACAGATTACCAGAAAATGACCTACTTGCATATCACATCTACCTCAAGGGCCTAACACAGGAGTCAACACTAGAGATTTGCTAAGGGACCATATCTGGCAAATGGATGTGACACATTATGCTTCCTTTAGATGCCTTGGGGCATTGCATGTCTCTGTAGAAACCTTTTCAAAAGTCCTATGGGCTACTACATCTACAGGGGAAATGGCAAAACGGGTTATTAATAATTGCCTAGCTGCTTTTGCCATCATAGGAATTCCTCAAAATTATTAAAGCTGATAATGGGACTGCTTACACAAACAGTTATTTCCAGCAATTTTGTAAGAAGTGGAAAATTCAGCTCATTACAGGAATACCATATAATTCCCAAGGACATGCCATTATTGAACAACAGCATCAGTGGTTAAAATCTCAATTTCAAAAACAAAAAGAGGGGATTATGATGGAGAAATCACCTGTGGGTAGGCTGCAACAAGCTTTAATTACTTCAATTTTTTTTTTTACTTGTGATGCTGATAGCAAGACACCCATGGAATTACACTGATGTCAGAATAAAACAAATGAAATGGTCTAGTTAAATGGAAAGATCCTGAATCTGGTTTGGGGAAGGTACCCAATCCATTATTAACCTTTAGCAGAGGGTATGCTTGTATATTTCCAGATATTTTCTCCAAAACTGTGTGGATTCCTGCTAGAAATATTAAACTGCAACATGGATCTGAGAGAGGACCTTGCACCCATAGCCACACCATGCAGCTGTAGACAATTGGCTACCTCAGCCACAAACAGCAGCCCCATTCAACACACTGAAGAAAAGGAGTAGAAGAACACGATGGATGATGAACAGCTCAGAAATGACTTGAGGAGTGATAAAGAAGATGGTCCAGAAAGCTGAACAAATTTGTAAAGAGACCAAAACCCCAAGAACTCCTGAAAACGTCTTTCTTGCCATGCTGGCAGTAAGCAGCTATGTGGTAATTTCACTAAGGGCTAATGGACATGTCATCTCTGGGTAAAATCCCTTATGTAGACTGATCCCCCTTCTAGTATATTAAATATATGGGCAAAGTATAATTACACCTGTCCCTGCCTGGCTTCCCCTTTTTATATGACACAAGAATCAAAGGAACTGCTACTCCTTTGTGTGTAAAATTAAAACTGGCTAGCAACACACCAAAGGAGGGGGAAGCTAAAACTTAATACAATTACTATCACTGCTTGTTTCTAGGAGAGACAAAGAGAATTTAACATTACTAATACCTCCCCCCACTAAGCCATTATGTAAAAAGTCTATGAATGACACCCACTAGCAGCAAACTTAAGAATAGTGTTTTTTTTTCTTTGTGAAATGAAGCCCTTTGGGACTGCATATAGTAATAATCAATGGAAATCAGCTGCTGCAATTGTACTAGTAAAATTATATAGATTAAAATAATAACTTTAATAAAAAAATCACCTTTTTGGTACTTAAAGTAAAAATAACACTACCCTTGATATTTTGGAATCAAAACAGCATATTGTATAATTATACCAGACAAACTTACAAACTAATTACTTAGATGTCTGGCAGCAACTTAAAGAAAGAATTTGTTGTCACTTTGATGTTCACAGTTTTTATCTTTACCTTTTTCTTCTTCTCCTCTTCTTTAAGAATATCCTTCAGCATTCCATATAATAATGGTTTGGTGGTGATGAACTCATTTAGCTTTTTCTTATCTGTGAAGCTCTTTATCTGACCTTCAATTCCAAATGATAGCTTTTCTGGGTAATCTTGGTTGTAGGTTCTTACTCTTCATCACTTTGTATGTTTCTTGTTACTCTCTTCTAGCCTGCATAGCTTCTGTTTAGAAATCAGCTTACAATCCTATGAATTCTCCCTTGTAGGTAACTAACTGTTTTTCTCTTGCTGCTTTTAATATTCTCTCTTTGTCTTTTGCCCTTGGCATTTTAAGTATGATGTGTCTTGGTGTGGTCCTCTTTGGATTCATTTTGTTTGGGGTTCTTTGTGCTTCTTGGACTTGTTAGTCAATTTCTTTCACCAGGTAGGGGAAGTTTTCTCTCATTATTTCTTCAGATAGGTTTTCAATATCTTGCTCTCTCTCTTCTTCTGGTACCCTTATAATTCAAATGTTGGTATGCTTTAAGTTATTCCAGATGCTCCTTACACTGTCTTCATATTTTTGGATTATTTTTTTTCTTTTTCAGTTGGGTGTTTTTGCTTCTTCATGTTTCAAATATTTGACTTGGTTCTTGGAATCCTCTAGTCTGCTGTTGAATCTCGGTATATTATTCTTTATTTTAGACAGTGTATGCTTAAATTTCTTAGTAAAAAAATTTCTTAATAAAAAAAAATTCTTTTTTATATCCTTTAGGGCACATGTGTCAAACACAAGGCCCGCGGGCCAAATCCGTCCCACCAGGCCTTGCAATGTGGCCCGCACCGCGCTGTCATCACTGCACTCCACTGCGTTTCCATCACAATGACAGTTTATGACTGTTCAGTAAACCATTCGGCTCGCGATTTAGGCTGGATTTTAGATTTTGGCCCCTTCTCTGATTGAGTTCGACACCCCTACTTTAGGGTCTCACTAAATTTCTAGGAGGTTTCTAGAAGATTCTTGAGTAACCTTATAACCATAGTTTTGAACTCTATATCCAGTAGTTTGCTTTCCTCCATTTCTTTCATTTGTGATCTGTTTCTTTGTCTCTGCATTTTGGCTACTTCCCTGTGTTGATAGAGTGGCTTTGTGTGCCCGGTGTCCTGTAGAGCCTAGTGACTCATCCTCCTTAATTACCTGAGGTGGACACTCTTGGTGCACCCCTTTATGTGCAGTGTGCACAGTCTTGTAGTTAAGCCTTGATTGTTGTTGGTATCATTGGGAGGAATTGACCTCTAGGCTAATTGGCTATGAGGATCAGTTGTGTCTACTATGAGATAACTTTTGTGCTGGAGATACCCTTATGGGGAGGACTTGCTTCAGTGGGGTTTTGGCGCTCACTGAGTCTGCCCCTTGAGTGTGTTTCTTACAGATTTGAAGAGTTGCAATCTGGATGGTTTCTGCGTACTCTGGCTCTTGGATCTCCAAGGAGGTGCAAAGTCAGCCACTGCCCGGGACCACCCAGCAGGAGCTACAGAGAGATCTGCAGATTACTCCTCTTTGTTTGGGGTTTGGAGGTGCCAAGATGAGGTGCAGCTGTGAAGCAATTGAAACTGTTGTCAAGCCTTGGGTCTTATTGATATTTTGGAGGCTTTGGGGTTCTCTGACCCAGCTGCAGTATGGTAGATTTCAGATTACAAAGGACCAGGCCATTCATATGTAAAAGCCTCTGCACACAGCTTGGGTTGTTTTGTAGATTGCTTAGGGCAGAGTCTCAGGGAATCACCAGGGCAGAGCAAACAACAATGGCTGACCTCAGCCCTGCCCCAAAGAGGTTCCCAGGTCTCTGTGTCCTGTGGCACCATGCAGGAACAATGAATGCTGCAGGCACCTCTGAGAAAAAGCATCCCTCATGTTCTGGCCTAATGCCAAACAGTCCAGTTTCTCCCTGTATGAGTCTGGGTCCCCAGAGTCTCGCCCGGAACTGGAGTTCATAGCAGTTGGGAGCTTTTTTTCTCCCTTCTGATTGAAAAGACAACAGCATTCTCAGTTGCCAGCCCCTTTCCACACATGCACCTATGTACCTCTGCACTTTACTTCTGCACCTCTGCACATTCTCTGAGTCTCAGTGTGCTTTTCTCTTTCCTTTTAGTTGTATAATTTCCACTCATCCAGCATTCCCATGGTTCTAGTTGATATCCATTTTGTCTTTTAGTTGTAGTTTTGAAGTGGTTGTGTGAGGCAGCAAGTTCAGGTGTTTACCTATGCTGTCATCTTGGTTTTCCTCACTCAATGGTTTCTTTTGCTGTGCAGAAGCTTTTTATTTTGATGTAGTCCCATTTGTTTATTTTCTCCTTAGTTTCCATTGCCCTAGGAGCTGTATGGATAAAAATATTGCTATGACAAATGTCTGATATTTTGCTGCCTATGGAGTCTTCTAAGATGTTTATGGTTTCCCATCTTACATTTAAGTCCTTTAACCATTTTGAGTTTGTTTTTATGTATGGTGTAAGCTGGTGATCTATTTTTATTTTTTGCATATATATATATGACCAATTTTCCCAGCACCATTTATTGAAGAGACTGTCTTGACTCCATTGTAATATCATGTAGGGTTTTTTCACAATCCTAAAATGATTTTAAAAATAATTTTTAAGATATTTTCCCATTGTGAATTCATTATTTCCATCTTTATTGATGTATTTTAGATAATGTACATGCACAAAGCCATATTTTTTAAGACACAACACAATGTATATTGTGTTTTGGAAAGAACCTGAAATCTGTGGTTGAATTAGGAAGCCAGCTCTACACTAGCTTGAGACAACATATATCTATTTAAAATAAGAATAACAAATATGTTTTGGTACTTTCAATAGGAGTATATGAGAAGTGTATGCAAAGTGTTTGGCATATATATTATCTTTATTAATATAGTAATTATATTACAGAAATCAGAGGAGTATTCAGAACACTTTCAAGAATACATACATTAAATCTACTTTTTTTGCTCCAGCATTGATTTTTCTGCCAGACTCTGTTTCTTTTGATAACTCTGGAATTATTTAACCAGTGTTTTCATGTGAATTAACCAGTAAGCAGTTTTATGCTACTCTATTAAGTGTATTAAGGTGATGAGTCCTCATCTTACTAAGAAAATAATGTGATGATCATTAGCAAAAATGCAACATACATAGTCAACACAGGTATTTTAATTTTATTTATATGTTTTGTTCCATATCCCTAGCTGATGTTTCTTTTTTTATTTTATTTATTTATTTATTTATTTATTTATTTATTTATTTATTTATATATATTTTATTGATTTTGAACAGAGAGGAAGGGAGAGAGATAGAGAGCTAGAAACATGGATGAGAGAGAGTCATTGATCAGCTGCCTCTTGCACACCCCCTACTGGGGATTTGTACGCAACCAAGGTACATGCCCTTGACCGGAATCGAACCGGGGACCTTCAGTCCCCAAGCCGACTCTCTATCCATTGAACCAAACCGGTCTCAGCAATTTTATTTATTGATTAAGGTATTACATATATGTCCTTATCCACCCTCCCCCCCCCGTGGCCCCCACTCCCCTATTATCACCCTCATCCCCGTGGTTGTCTGTGTCCATTGGTAAGGCTTATATGCAGGCACATAGTGCTTTGGTTGATCTCTCCCACTTACCCCTCCCTTCCCCTACCTTCCCTCTGAGGTTTGATGGCCTAATTGATACTTCTCTGTCCCTGGATCTGTTTTTGTTCTTCAGTTTATGTTGTTCATTATATTTCATAAATAAGTGAGATCTTGTGATATTTATCTTTATCTGACTGGCTTACTTAGCTTAGCATAATGCTCTCCAGTTCCATCCATTCTGTTGTAAATGATAAGAATTCCTTCTTTTTTACTGCAGCATAGTATTCCATTGTGTAGATGTACCACAGTCTTTTAATCCACTCCTCTGCTGATGGGCACTTAGGCTGTTTCCAAATCTTAGCTATGGTGAATTGTGCTGCTATGAGCATAGGTGTACATATACTAAGGAGGTAAAAGACCAGTATGCAGAAAACTACAGGACACTGAAAAAAGAGAAAGAGAAAGACATAAACAGATGGAAGAACATACCCTGTCCATGGATTTGTAAAATCAACATTATTAAAATGTCCATACTTCCCAAAGTAATCTATAGATTCAATGCACTCTCCATTAAAATACCAATGGCATATTTCAGAGACCCAGAAAGAACTCTCCAAAAAATTCATCTGGAATAAAAATGACCCTGAATAGCTGCAGCAGTTCTGAGAAAGAACAACGTAGGGATCTCAATACCAGATATCAAGCTGTATACAAAGCCACCGTTCTCAAAACATCCTGGTACTTGCATAATAACAGATGCATGGATCAATGGAATAAAATAGAGAACCCAGAAATTGATCCAAAACACTATGTTCAATTAATATTTGACAAAGGAGGAATGAACATACAATGGAGTCAAGACAGTATCTTCAGTAAATGGTGTTGGGAAAATTGGGCAGATACTTCCAAAAAATTTAAACTAAACCAACTTATACCATACACAAAAATAAACTCAAAATGGATAAAAGACTTAAACATAAGACTGTAAATCATAAAAATACTAGAGGAATCCAAAGGCAGCAAATCTCAGACATATGCCAAAGCAATTTCTTTACTGATACCACTCCTAAGGCAATGAAAGCTAAAAAGAAACAAATGGGACTACATAAAAATAAAATGCTTTTCCACAGCAAAAGAAACCATTACCAAAATAACAAAAGAGCCCACTACATAGGAAAACATAGTTACTAATGTTATTACTGGTAAGTGTTTAACATTTATAGGGAACTCATACAACTTAACAAAAGGAAGATAAACGACCCAATCAAAAAATGGCAACAAACCTAAATAGATACTTTTCAAAAGAAGGCATAAGGAAGACCAAGAGACATATGAAAACATGCTCAAAGTCACTAATCATCCTAGAGATGTAAATCAAAATGACAGTGCAATACCATCTCACGCCTGTTAGAATGGCTATCATCAACAAATCAACAAATGACAAGTGTTGGTGAAGATGCAGAGAGAAAGGAACCCTCCTGCACTGCTGATGGGAATGCAGACTGGTGCAGCCACAGGGGAGAACAGTAGGGAGTTTCCTCACAAAACTAAACAAGGAACGCCCATTTGACCCAGTGACCCCACCAATAGGAATATATCCCCCCAAAAGCTAGAAACACCAATTAGAAAAGATATATGCACCCTAGCTGATGTTTCTTATTCCTAATTATACTCATACTAGAGGCCTGGTGTACAAATTCACCCACCAGTTGGATCTTTTGGCCTGGACTGCAGGCT